CTGTGAAATTCAGTAATTAAGTTAATTCTGTAAAAGTAGTTATACCATTATAATCTTGCCTGCTGAAAAAAAAACAAAAAAAAAACAATAGAACCCCTCCCAAAACTCAATAGAACATTTAATGGGAATTGTATTTAAAATCGCAAATCAAATCGCAATCGCAATATCTGTCAAAAAAATCGCAATCTGATATTTTCCCCCAAATCGCACAGCCCTACTTCTGATGTACTAAGTTAAACTTAAACCTCTATGCTGCTTCCAGAGTGAGGAGTCAGGTGAACCAGACATCACAGACTGTCCCGTTGCTCTTGTCATGGTGGTCAAAAGAGACACAGCATGTCCGGTTCATTTAAATCCTGCAAGCACCGCTATCGTGGTTGAAGATGATGTTGTGATGAGTGATATCCCCAGGTTTGCCGATGCATTTGTATTGTTGTTTGGGTTGATCTATGCATTGCATTTGGACTACCCCAAGAAACTCTCTCTTACTTAGAGTTACAAATGACCTGCTCTTATCATCTGATCGTGGTTGTATCTCTCTATTAGTGCTACTGGATCTTAGTGCCGTGTTTGACACTATCGACCACAACATTCTTTTGAAAACACTAAAAAATTATGTTGCATTAGAGGAAGTGCATTGGCATGGTTCAAATCTTACTTATCTGACCGCCATCAATTCGTGGCAGTGAATGAAAAGGTATCATACCAATCACAAGTGCAGTATGGAGTACCCCAAGGCTCAGTACTAGGACCCTTACTTTTCACGCTTTCATCAGGTGACATGGTGTTAGCTTTCACTGTTATACTGGATGATACTCAGCTCTATATTTCTTCGCGACCCGATGAAACATACCAACTTGCAAAACTAACGGAATGCAGAGTTTATATAAAAAACTGGATGGCTAGCAATTTCTTACTGCTAAATTCTGAAAAAACAGAGGTATTAATCATCAGACCAAAAACCTCCGCATGTAATGACATAGAACACTGTCTAATATTTGATGGCTGCTCTGTAAATTCTTCATCATCAGTTAGGAACCTAGGCGTGCTATTTGACAGCAATCTTTCCTTTGAAAAACATGTTTCTAGCATTTGTAAAACTGCATTTATCCATCTTAAAATAATATCTAAATTATGACCTATGATCTCAATGTCTAGCGCAGAAATGTTAATTCATGCGTTCATGACCTCAAGGTTAGATTATTACAATGCTTTATTGGGTGGTTGCTCTGCACAATTAATAAGCAAACTCCAGCTGGTTCAAAATGCAGCAGCTAGAGTACTTACTAGTAAAATCACTACATTTCGACTAGTATTTACAATGTTGACTAGGGCTGCACGATTAATTGAATGTGATTGTCATGCACATCTTGTCAGTAAAGCCGGTTTTGTGATTAGTAGTAAATCTCCATCACGTGCGTTCAGATGGAGCAGCATTTACTACACAGAGCCGTAGTTCACTGACAAGCTACGCAAAATCGTGTTCATAATCGCAGACGATTTAATCGCGCGATTATGAAATCAAAGAAATCGTTCTGAGATTATGAAAGATGTTTGTGTAGCTTGTCAATGAACTACGGCTCTGTGTAGTAAATGCTGCTTCATCTGAAAGCACGTGAAAATACCACATTTAATAACATGTTTTTACTCGAAACTCACTTCATCATAACGTCAGCCGAGTGTCTGAAATAAATCCTTCTGTGAGATGATGTGGCTTCTTACACAGAATAAGGCATGTAACATATTTCATACTATTCTAAGCAGTGATAAAGGCTGTGTCGATTAGCATTGCATTATTATATACTTTATTATAATAACAATTAATAAGACAAACTCGGATAAACCATATATTGTCGTAGTCGTGTGTTTAGTAGTCTACAGGCATTTCCTGGGTTTCTTCTGCGAGGCGTATTTGGAGTTTCAGCGCGAGAGCACCCTCTGGCCTTCGGATGGAGATTTACTGCTGATCACAGAACAGTGCTTCACTGAAAGATATGCATTACAATCACAGCTTCTGCCTAATCGCGATTTATCGCCTTTGCGATTTAATTTTGATTAATCGTGCAGCCCTGTCGTCTCCTAGACGGCCATTGGGACAAGATCACGGGAACCAGATGAGGCCTCTGCACAATCTGACTCTGATCTAAACTGGGTTTATCTGGCCAGAGGAGAAAGACACACTATTTCGCCACACTATTTCCTCATTTAAAACCCTCATGTGGTGTTCGGGTCCTTTTTGCTCTGAAAAAAAAAATATTTTTCCCGAAAATACTAGTTAATGTTATCGCATTGGACTGAAATTTTGTGACTTTGTTCACAAAGGGTATAACTACTTCTAAAATTTTTTTTTATAATTTTCATACTTTTCTGGGGGAGATTTTTCACCTTGTTACACCCGTGATGTTACAGAGCAAAAGGACCCGGCCTCAAACAAATGCTTATAAATCACTCATTATGGTAGCATAATGAGTGATTTATAAGCAATTTTATGAGGCCGGGTCCTTTTTGCTCTGTAAACTCGTAAGTGTGATAGGGTTCTGAACACAACACAAGGGTTAATACTGTAAAGCTGCTTTTACACAATTTGCATTGTAAAAAGCACCATGTAAATAATGGTGACTTGACTTGACTTGACATTAGTTAATTCATTAGTAAACAAACTCCCAATAAAAAAATTAATCTAAACATTCATTAATCTTAGGTAATTCCAATATTTAATAACATTGTTAAAATCAAAAGTTGCAACTGTGTTATTTAATGAACCCGAGCTAACATAAACTAAGAGTTGTATTTTTTAACAAAGATTAATAACTTCTGTAGCAAATGTAGCTATTGCTCATTGTTAATGTTAATGCATTAACTAAAGTTAACTAATGAGTTCTTATTGTAAAGTGATACCTATTGGTCTTTATCATTCTTTTGCACTTTAATCTGTGTAAAATGTTTAACTTTATACATTTTTGTGTATTGCTTTATTGTATTTAAATGTTCAGTTATTTTTGTTATAAGAAAAAAGTTATTAAACCTGTTATACTGTATTATGACAACACTTTTTTTTGGCAACTAAATTCCAATACCGTGATAATACCGTATACCGTGATAAAAACATTAGCAATTAATCGCAACATGAAAAACTGATACCGGCATATCCCTACATCCAAGTAAAATGCATCTGGCAAAAAGAAGTAAAAGCAACTGCATGCTTGCATTGTAGTAATATAGAGCTTCTTTTCAACTTTAAATGAATGCAGTCTGTTTTTGTATAAACCGTATTTACAGTGTTTGCAGAAGAGAGTGACAGTCTCCATACATTTCAAAGATCAGCCTCTGGGCTTTTTTTTTTCTTTTTCAGAAAATCTATATTTTCACTCGTCCAAAGGTCCTCATTGTAGGACTGGTTATGCAGAGTTAAAAATATTCTGTGTATGTGCGCTGGAGGGAGAGACTAGGAGGAGAAAGAGAAAACAAGCTACTTATTCACAGCTGCCTAAGAGCTGTGCATGTTGACTCATATAAAGCCAAGAACGATTTGAGAAAAGCTTTCAGGAAGAATTTCTGAGTCACTACATATCAAAAGGGTTTGGCTCAATTAGATCTTCATTCATGATGGAAAGAGTCACATAGGAGAAGAGATAGAAAAACAAAAAACACATCACAAGACAAAAGGGGTGTGAACCGATTTATGCTTGCGTGAGAAAAGTGGCGCCACTGACCTGATACCAACCATGTTTGCCGCATAGCGTGCACACGGCAGAGAGAGACAGACAAACAAAGAGAGCGAGAGAGAGACAGCTCCTGTCTAAGCTGGCTGCAAGCCACTAAATGTCACACAGGTTGGGACGCAGTCACAAACAACCCCAAATCCCACTCAAAACCTGCAGACCACAAAGGCCTGATAATTGAGCCCACATGTAAATTAAAGATGAAACCTCTCTTGTGTTTCACCATCTGTTCCTGCTCTCCATGACTGAAACACAAACTGACTGTTTTCTATCCAGAACCACTAGCTATTTAGGTGATTTTACGCGGCACTTTCAAGTTATTGCTACGTTTTTCATCTTACTTTGACTACGTTAGTGGGCCAGATTTTCAGCCGAAACCCTGTGATGTATCTGGTAGATAAACATATAGTTTAGAGTCCAGATGAAACAGCATCTATTTAAATACCATGTGACAAATATTTGAGTGAAACAGGATGTAGAATGAGAAAAAAAAAATGGCTTTATCCATCGGGAATTGATTGGATTGTGAAAAAAGTGAGTTACCACAAATGGAGCCAGATGCAGAACGTGGAGACTGAAGGTCAAGATCACCCCTGAGAGCATCTCAATGTCTCTTATTGGTTATTTTACAAAGCTAGTTATTTGCTATTTTTGATGTCCAATCTTGCTCCAGGAGGGCCACTTCCAGCAGAGTTCAGCTCCAGTCCTAATTAAACACACCTAAACCAGCTAATCGAGGTCTTCAGGATCACTAGAAACAAGCAGGTGTGTTGGAGCTAAGCTGGCCCTCCAGTTGTGAAAGTGGAGCTGGGGCCTGTTTCATAAAACAAGTTTACCAAATAAGCCAGGCTTATTTCAGTTAGTCTGACTTATTCTGAACCAAATCAACTGACAATATGTCAGACTAACTGAAGTAAGCCTGGTTTATTTGGTAAACTAGTTTTATGAAACAGGCCCCAGGACTGAGCCAGTGTTATTTTAGTGTTATTTATATACTATTACAGTATTTATTAATATTTAGCATATGCTTACATTTTTTTATATTCAGTTATCATTTTAAGATTAGTTTAAGTTTTAGTAATTTTGTTATGTGCTTTTGTCATTTGTATTAGTGTTTTGTTATTAGTGTGTATATATTTCTATTTAGCTTTAATTTATTTTCATTTCAGTTTTAGTTTAGGTAATTTTACTTTATTTCTATTAATTTTATTTTATTTCTATTTAGCTTTAATTTATTTTTATTTCAGCTTTAGTTTCAGTAGTTTTATTTCTATTAGTGCTGTCAAATGATTAATCGCATCCAAAATAAGAGTTTTTGTTTACATAATATATGTATGTGTTCTGTGTATATTTATTATGTATATATAAATACACACACATACAGTATATATTTCGAAAATATTTACATGTATTTACATGTATATATTTATATTCATATAATATATTATAAATATATTTAAAATATAAACAACTTATCTTTTCTTAAATATATACATGCATGTGTGTGTATTTATATATACATAATAAATGTACACAGTACACACATATATTATGTAAACAAAAACTTTTATTTTGGATGCGATTAATCGCGATTAATCGTTTGACAGCACTAATTTCTATTGATTTGATTTTATTTCTATTTAGCTTTAATTTATTTTTTCCAGCTTCAGTTTCAGTAGTTTTTTCTATTCATTTTATTTTTTCTATTTAGCTTTATTTTTTATCTCAGCTTTAGTTTCAGTAATTTTAGTACTTAAA